TTTTTTACCGTTTTATTATTATTATTATTTTTTTAATTTTTTTAGTAAAATTTTGATTAATGAAAAAATATCATATCATCCACCTTCGAATTGTCCCAAACAAAGTTCTCCCGTGAGAGGGGAATACGGTGACGTGGACACTTCATTGCAATATTTTTCAATGGCGGAAGTCAAATCCGTGTTGACGTAGAGAAAATTCGAATCCGACACGTCGGATGCCCAAAACGTGCAATTCTCATTGAATTCCACGTTGTTCAAATATAATATAAACAAATTATATTTTTCTCCTTTTTTAAATGACGGATACGTAAGATGGCTGAATTGTAAAATCACTAAAAAATGGGAAATCCTAATAATGATAATAATAATAATAATAATAATAATTAAATGATATGTTATCCTACCCTCATCGTCATCGATGGAATCTTCGTTTGAAACATCGGATTTAACGACGGTTTCGTTATCCTCGACATTTTTTTCCCCCATCGAATTTTTCACGTAATCATTAACGCATTTCCCGGATGTTTTTTCTTTTAAAATTACTTTTTCTAAATATTTTTCGTACGTCTAAAAAGTATATACACATAAATGACAATTCGATATATATATATATATTTTAAATTTCGATTGATTGACTCACCAAAATTAAATCCGTTTTTTCCTCTATCAATTTTTCAAAATAATTTCGAGAGTTTTTCGAAAACGAATCCACCACTTCGACTCCGTAGTAAAGTTATTTCAACGGCCAAAAATGGTATCGATTTCAACTTTTTCGATATCGGAAATAAGTTTCCGAAAGGAATCCTTTCCGCAAATCCATAATCAACGAAATGTATTAAACATGTCACGTCTTCGACATTGGATTTTACTAATCCGCGAAAAAAATTTAAATCCTTTTTTTTAAATTTGACGCAATAGAGTTCTCCGATTTTCGGTGATTCGTCTAAGATTTCACCTTTAAAATAAACATATATATATATATATTTTTTTTTCCCACTCATTTTGATAATACCAAAAACCGTAAAAGAATCGCAAAATTTGATAAATTACCATTTTCCACGCAATTCGCAAGTTGGTGATGTATGCTCTCCAACAGCGCTTGAAATTTTTTTCCCGATTTTTGAACGTATAAATTATTTTTACAACCGATTGATGTTAAATTAACGGATCGACCAGATTTTAGAAAAAATCCAACGATGTCGGTTTCATCAGATTTGGAAATGAGCGCGTTGGCAATGGTTTCCCTACCATCTTCACTTTTGATCTGGCAAAGCCACTCATCATTTCCAACATTGTCTTTAATTCGAAACGAAAAATATTTAGAATTCGAAAACTATAAAAAAAAAAAAAAAAAAAATATCGTTAACGTCACCTCGTATTTTTTTCATTTACATTCCCATATTATTCTCAAAACGTACCAAATTTTCAGAAAAAATCTCGTCGATTTTAACCAAAACCACACATTGACCAAAATCAATTTTCCCATTGACCGGAAATACTTCTTTCACGGTGACGAAACATCTTTCGTTAAATAAACCCACGCGATAATTTCCGTCGGTTTTTTTTTCAATAATTTTCCCAGTATAATCGTTATAGTGATCGTCGTGAAATACGACGACATCATTTTCACGTCCTCTGAAATTTCAAACACGTTTACAAATTAAAATTAACGAATGAAAAATTCATGTTAAAAAAAAAAAAAAAATAACAAAGTCAAAAGAATTTTAATTCTTTCCCCCGCCCCCGCCCCCCCCCCCGCATTAATTACTTACGCACGAGGTTCCAAATTACAAGACAAAAGTTCCAAACACTTTTTCAACTTTGTTAAACTTTTATCAACGTTATCATTAAAAACGATTCCGTAACGAATTTTATTCAAACCGGGTAAAATAAATATTGTACCCGTATCGTCGTCGGAAAATCCATCGTCAAAACCTGTAAACCTGTAAAAATTTCCAATCAATTTTTTTTTAATTGATTTAAATTGACAAAAAAAAAAAAAAAAAAAAGGAAAAATCTTACCCTGTTTGTATTTCCTCATCTATAAAATTATGATCGACATCCGGAATGGTCACGTGATTATGTTTTTTCCCTGGGATTTTAATACAAATTGTTTTTTCAAATTCTTTTACATCTACTTTCCCCATCAAATCCAAAATGTGCGCGCCAAAATCTGTCGTACTTATTTTTTTAACAGCCAATAATTTATTTTTATAATTTATACCGATAAAATTTTCCTTGAATGAAACGGGTGAAACCTGATTTGGCAAAAAAAAAACGCAATTAAATGACATAAAAAAAAAAAAAAATTTTTTTTAAAAAAAAAATACCAACTAAAGGCGGTAATTCTTCGAGCAATTTCGAAAGTTCTCTAACAACAAATTTCTCCCTATAAAACTCATAAATAATACCAAAATCGATAAATCGAACTTTCAATGGAGAACAACCAATTACTTTCCCACGAAACCTTAAAAAGAAAAATAAATAAATATTAAAATTTAAATTTTTCAAACAAAATAAATGATAATAATAATACTCACCATTCTTCATTCATTTGAAATGCGTATATATTATTTAACTTGGGATATTTAACAAAATTTAATTTGTTTTTATTTAAATGAAAAGTCATGAATTTGTAACCGTTTAAATCTTTTAAATTAATAACCCAAAATTTATTTTCCGATTGTTGCCTCACAACACAAATCTTCAATTTTAAAAAAAAATATTAATTAATAAAAATTTTTTTTTTAAAAACAAAACAAATAATAATAATTAATATAAAAATCTTACCAAATTATTTAAATCAAATTTTTTTAATATTTCACAAGAATTAAAACATTTAACATTCGTACCAGGCGATGATAAAGTGTCAAAATTTTCATTTTCATTATTATTATTATTATTATTATTATTATTATTATTATTATTATTCAGTTTTAATTTAGATTTACTTTTGAAATTTTTTTTCCTTCTCGCATTATTTTTAAGTAAATTATCAGGTGATGATAATTCGCAATTTGATGATGTAACATGATTTGATTCACTTTCACATTCGGCACCTGCAAATAATTTATGTGTTACTCATTTATATTAAAAAAAAAAATCATCATTTGTTCAACTGAAAAAATCTATTTTGAATCAATGAATTCTAGTATGCATGATGTATTGTCATCAACAAATTTCAAGTCGAAATAAAATCACAATTCGATATTTATCGATAATTGCGAGAGAGATAAAAGTAGTCGTTTTATTTACCAAAATCGAGATGATAATTATCGGATGTTCTTTTAAATTTATCATGACAAGTGCTACAAAATTTTGTTTCTTTTTCATAATTTTCCTTTTCAAATATTTTTGCACACATTGCACATACAACCAATTCCTAAAAAAAAAAAAAAAAAAAAAAAAAAAAAAAAAAAAACATTATTGCATAATAACTAGTAATTCGCTAAAGATTATAAATTATTATTAAAAAATATTTTTCGATTTTCATACTTAAACAAATATATAATACAAACACTTGCTTTTCTTAAATAAGTAAGTCAGCATATGTAATAATAATTGAAAAAAACTAAAATATACTTAAAAAAAGAAAACTTTATACTAACTTTATATTTTAATGAGAGGTAAAGGTGATCCAATGCTTCCATTAATTTTAATTTTCTTTTTTTTTCTTCATACATATTATTATGCAATAAAGACTGACTATTTCTGCTGTAATCGAGAAAAAAAAAAAACCTACAGAAATCATTTAGAACAAAAAAAAAAGCATTAAAATAATTAAAATATATTATTCACCTCATATTATCAAAGTAAAAAATATTTCGTTTTAAATTTTTATTAATTTAAATACTTCTATAAAAGCTTTTTTTCACTTATTCTTCTTTCTAAATATCTTTTTTGTTTTAAAAGTGTAATATGTATAGAATAATAATGATGAATGTTAAATCTTGTGTAATTATTTCTGTCCTTGTGATTAACAGTTAAATATTAATAATTAACATCAATCCTAAAAAAAAATTTTGTTAAATAAAAAAGTTTTATGATAAATTAACATAAAATAAAATAATGGAAAGCAATAAATTTAGTTTTTTTTTATTTATTTAACTACTTGCAAAAAATAATTCAAATTAATTATAAATATCTAAGAGTAAACAATTTAAACAATTTAAACTTATTTTTTATAATAACCCTTTCGAACGATTAAGTACAATTTTAATAAGTTAAAATTTAAAAAGAAAAAATTTGCAAATAATTTATTAAAAGCGTCTCACATGTTTGAAAAATTTTTTGCCATTCAAGTTTTAACAAGTTAGAAAAATAAAATTTTATTTATCGTACTAATTCAAAATTTTAATTCGAATTCGAAATTAACAAACAATCAATTACAAAATAAATTTTAAATTATAAATTTTCGATTCGAATTTTAACATTTTCAAAATTAAAAACATTTTTTTTTTTTGTATAAATTACAAAAAACTTTAACGAACGTTGATAAATTTCCTTCGTAATTTTTTAACCACGTATTCTTGTGCCACGACATTGTTCCGTATCAGTCGAATAAATATTTCGCGTTTTTTTTAGTTATCGCAGTGTCAAATGTTACATCATTACAAATTAATTATATAAAAATTTAAAATGTGATTTTTTTAAAACATAATTTCATTTTCTTTTTTTTTTTTTTTTTTTGTAAACGTCATCAGGTTTCAAAATTCGAGATTTTTTATTTTTATTTTTAAAAAAAAAAAATGCAAATGTAAATAATTAACGTTTTATTTAAAATTTCTCTTTTTTCATATAATAAATGTAATTTTTATACTCGTTTTATTATTTACATTGATAAGGTAACGTAATAAATTCTATGATTTAAAACAAAATCTTTTCTTTTGTGAAAATTAATTAATAATAATAATAATAATAACGTAAATTGCGTATTTAAATTAGAAAAAATGATCATTTTCGTTATTTACTCTTATTGTATTGTAAATGATGATTATATATATAAACAGACTCTGCCTAAATTTTATTTGTTTTTGTTTATAATATTCATTCTAATTATAGCATCACATAATGAAATCTTTTCAAAATATAAAATGAAATTAATTTTTAATTAAAACCAAATAATAATAAATAATTTTTCCCAGGATAATGACCTGATTTTAATATTCCATATGATACAAAAAAAAAAAAAAATATTTTGCCAAGAAATAATAATAATAGGCTTTAATGTCAAGGTTTTCCCTTAGGTGTGTATACACACATATATAATTTTTTTTTATCGCCAGCTGAGTAAAGTCACTGCTCCCTCTCTCTCTCTCTCTTTCTCTCTCTCTCTCTCTCTATAAATAACAACAATCATGCTTAATCATTATTACATTTATTATTATTATTATTATTATTTTCTTATAAATATCGTTTGTGTGTGTGTGTGTGTCATTTTTTTGTCACACACAAAAAAAAAAGTAAAAATAAATTTATTTATTATTATTATTATTATTATTATTATTATTATTTTCTCTCCCCTTTTAAATTAAACAATAAATTTAATTACAATTTATTATTATTATTATTTCAAATTTAATATTATTAAATTTTTTTCCAAAATGAATTCGAATTGATTCCTCATAACGAATAATAATAATAATTAATGTTAAAATTACATTATATATAATATTTACCCAATTATTATTATTATTATTATTATTATTTAAATTACTCTTCAACTCATTTCATTTAAATTTCATTATTTTCATCAACTACATAAGCATAATTTTTTTTTAATGTCAATTTCAATGTCAATTTTTTTTTTTTTTTAGTCGAATCAGCATAAATCTTTTATCGATATTCAATATTTTTATTGTTTACTAATTTTAATTCTTTTATAATTCCCAATTAACAATGAATCGAAATACTATTTTTAATTAATTAATTAATTAATTAATAATAATAATAATAATAATGATTATTTTAAATATTAGTTGGATTTAAATTCGTGAGAGCCAACTGCGTAAATAATAATGGCTAAACAACTTTTGCAATTTTTTTTTTTTTTTAAATTAATGATGACGTAATACGTTTTCGAAATTTAATAATATAAATAAATAAATTAATATATATATTTGGTTTTTTTTTTTTTTTTTTTTTTTTTTTTTAGGCACCCTAATTAATAAGAATAAGGAAAAATGAAGTCTTTTCTTTCTTTGTTCGATCCGAATGAAAATTCGGAAAATGTATTATCGGAAAATGATGATTTTTCACATTGTCAACAGTTACCCCCAGAGCCTCAAGTTGGAAATATCGAGTATAAATTAAAATTGATAAATCCCTCAAAGCTCAGATTTCAACATTTGGTCACTCAGGTATAATTAACGATTTTTTGCGAACTAATAAACCTGAAAACCCTTGTTTTTTTTAAATTACTACTCTTTTGTATGTAGATGAAATGGAGAATACGGGAAGGTCACGGAGAGGCAATTTACGAAATAGGCGTTGAAGATGATGGAGCTTTGGCCGGACTTCAAAATTGTGATATGGCAGCAAGTTTACAAACGTTAAAACAAATGGCCGTTAAATTGGGAGCCAGTTGTTCGGTATTAAGAGAAAGAACTCTTGACAATGGGAAAAAAGTTGCCGAAGTTTTAGTTAGAAAGGTTTTTTTTATAATGACGACGATTCATTTTTCCTTTCGGTTAAAATTAATTTGACTTACCCCTAATAATAAAATCATTTGTTGTGAAAGGTGCCTGACGATCAGCATAACATTGAAGTGAGGGTTGCCGTCATGGGTAGTGCCGATGCTGGAAAATCTACCCTTCTAGGAGTTTTAACACAGGGACAATTGGATAACGGACGAGGTCGAGCACGTTTGAACATGTTTCGACATCTTCACGAAGTTCAATCTGGAAGAACGTCGTCAATATCACACGAAATACTTGGATTTGATTCCAAAGTAATCAAATTGTTTTTTTGACATTTTGTTAATAATAATGGAGGATGTGATAACTTGTGTAACGGAAATCGTGTTTTGTTTTGTTTATTAGGGAGGCGTCGTGAATTATAGCGAACTCATGACGTCCGAAGAGATTTGCGAAAATTCAGCCAAGTTAATCACTTTCATGGATTTGGCCGGACATAAAAAATATTTAAAAACAACAATTGCCGGACTTACTGGTTACTTGCCTCATTACGCAATGATCGTTGTCAGTAGCAGCGCTGGAATATTGGGAATGACGCACGAACATTTAAGTTTGGCTTTGGCTTTGGACGTACCTTTTTTTGTTGTCGTTACCAAAATCGATGTTTCCTCACCGCAACAAACTCTAACAAATTTAGAAAATTTGTTGAAAAGTGCAGGATGTCATAAGGTAAAAAACACTCGGAAAAGTCTTTTTCCATAGAGTAAAAAAAAAAAAAAACATTAATATTTACCTGAATTCAATTTTTCAGGTTCCGTTGTTGATATCAAATGAAGATGACGTCATAACGGCGAGTTCGAATCAGAAATCGGAAAATGTTGTGCCAATGTTTTCCGTATCGAACGTCACTGGAGAGGGTTTAGATCTGCTGTCAAAGTTTTTACATTTATTGCCGCCTGGAATAAGTATTAAAGAAAAAGAACGTTTGGAACAGGTACTCTACCTGAATTGGAAAAAAAAAAAAAAAAAAAAACGTAATAATAGGAATGAAATGAGAAAAAAAATTTTTTTTTTTTTTTAAAGGAATTATGCGAATTTCAAGTAGATGAAACTTTTCGGATACCCGAAGTTGGTACGGTTGTCGGAGGACTGTTGATTCGAGGCGTCGTGGTCGAAGGAACCAAATTACTCATAGGTAAAATATCATACCTGAAAAATATACAAAAAATTATTATTATTATTATTATTATTATCATTATTATTTTTTTCCCCCTCGAAAGGTCCTTTCGACGACGGTTATTTCAAACCCGTCAAAGTACAATCGATACATAGAAATAAAACTCCCTGTCGTATGGTTAGAGCGAGTCAAAGCGCATCACTAAGTTTCACACCGGAAATTCCAGGTTTGAGAAACGGAATGATTTTAGTGAGTCCGGAATTAAAACCTGCGGGATCGATATTTTTCCAAGTATGTTTTTGATAAAACTATTCCTTTTAACGAGGGGAAAATTTGAAAAAAAAAAAAAAAAACACGTCATTCGTTTCAGGCTACCGTCATAGTGTTGTTTCACGCGACGGCCATACACAGAGGATTTCAAACGACCGTACACATCGGAAACATACGACAAACGGCAATAATAGAAGGTATAATGGCAGTAGGTGGCATACACACGAACGAGAGAGCTTCGGTACTTTTCCGATTCGTTCGACATCCCGAATACGTTCGCGTCGGTATGAGACTCCTTTTCCGCGAGGGTAAAACAAAAGGAATCGGTACCGTGACACAAGTTTTCGCATATAAACCTCACGGTGGATAATAATTATTTCGATACGATACGATTCGATTCGATTCGATTCGATAACCTCGAATTAATGAAACCTGAACATTTACAAAATCTCAGCAGGAAAAATTAAAATTTAAATAAAAAAAAAAAAAAATTGCAAAAAACTTTAATAAATTGACCGGTACTTAATTGATTGTTATTGATTGATTAATAACTTATCATTATTATTATTATTGTTTTTTTGTCAGTAATTAATGACGTCATTTAACGTATTTTAATTCTCTCGTTTGTATGTGTTGCAATGAAAAAAACGATAATGATATTTAAAAACAAAATGGCGGTTGTGGCTGTGCGAAAAAAAAACGGATTTTATCAATCGATCTTATCATTAATTTTTAAATGTATATAAATGGTTTTTTTAAAACAACGCAGAATTTTTTTTTTTTTTAATTATTTGTCGACATTTTACAAACAGTACAAAATACTCGTTCAAAATATTTTTTTAAAAAAAGTACAAAATCGAAACGAAATAGTTACCCGATTAATTTTATTTCAATTATTATTATTATTAACGTCTGTCGCACTTATCAAAAAAACGCGTTCTCGGTTATTTTATATTAATTAATAAAAATTTGTAAATAATTCTGCGTTGCGTATATTTTTAAAATATATAATATATATATAATCGATAGTTTTAAGCGTAGTTTTAAGTATATAATAATAATAATAATAATTATTATTATTATTATATGCGTTGGTGTGTGTTTTTAATTATTAATTATAAATAATTTTATGTACGAATAAAAAAAAAATGTAACTTACTCTCTCTCTCTCTCTGTCTCGGTTTACGTCATCTTTTTGTAAAAATTTTTTTTTTTCAATTCGTTCGTTTGTTCGTTATTAATAATAATAATAATAATTTATAATACGATCACGTGCGGTAAAATATTTTGCGTGTAAAATTGCGTTTTTTCGTTATTGTAAAAGAAAATCTGAAAATAAAAAAATGGATCGTGTTCATATTTTCAAATATATAAAATTTTTTGTCTCTCATAATTCGTCATTTAATTATTATTATTATTATTATTCATCTAGAAAAAAATAAAATAAATAAATAATTAACAATAATAATATTTTCAATTTTTAATTTATTAATAATTATTTTAATTTTAAAAAATGAGTTTATGTGTAAAAAAAAAAAAATTAATTTTATGTAAAATACTCGTGTTTTAAATTTCCCCCTCCCACTCCCCACCTCCTTCCCTCCTCCCACTCCCCGCCTCCTTCCTCCTTCGCTCCTCCCCCTCACTAAAATATCATTGATTAAGTGTTTGTTATTCGAAAAAAAATTCAAATTTTTTTTTCTGTAAATTGCACAAATACATATTAATTAATTAAATAAATAAATATATTTTTCTATTAAAATAAAAAAATGTTTACAATTTTTTGATTTAATTAAATTTTAATTCCTTTGAATTCCTTTTTAGTGTCACGTGATTACGAACGGACTACATTAAAAAAAAATAAATAATAAAATACATGTCGATTTTACCTTATTTTTTTATGATTTATATGGCACCGTATCATCATCCCTTATCAATCAATCAATCAATCAATCAATCATCCCTTATTATTTACATAAATAAAAATATCAAAATTCTTGTATATATAACGAATGGATTTATCCTTATCTATCTTATTTTCATTGAACTGATAAAAAATTATTTCATTAAACAAACATACGCGAGGGTCGTAAACTTACCCCCCAAAAATTTAATTTAAACTTTTCATTTTCTAGCCCTTTTGTCCGGAATTTAATTCAAATTTTTTTTTTAATTTTACACAATCCTGGGGATCGGATAAATTCAAAATTTTTTGCAATTGATTCATTCTATCATTTTCCAAAGCTGAAATATATTCGGGAATCCCTCGGCAAACTTTTATAAACGTATCCATCTGGAAAATTTCAATATTATCGTCACCAAAAAAAAAAAAAAAAAAAAAAAAAAATGTCTACGTCATAAATCGATAATAATAATAATAATAATAATTTACCCTCAAATCTAAATTTTTAATAATATTGAAAAACGGTTCGATTTTAAATAATTCAACATCGTTTTCAATTAATTTCGGAATGGCGAAACTTATCATTTCGTCAATTATAACGTTAATATTAACGATTCCTGTATTTTTAACGCAATCGATCAATTCTTTAATGTCGTCTCCCCTCATATCCTCTGCTAATTTTTCACACAATTGAATGCAAATCGATTTGAAATCCAATTGATTATCCTGTACGATCCTGTGGGTGAACAAAAAAAATTACAATGGAAAATCTTATGAAGTTAATCTGTTTTGGAAAAGTAAAAAAATGGGGGGGGAAAATTACTTGAATCCAATTCCGAAACCTTCGGAAATATTTTTCCCGAGGAAAATGATCATTTTCACGAGTACGATTTTCTCTCGTTTTCCATCGAATAATGTCGGGATTTCATTTTCGTTCGTTATTTCGTTTGGAAAAATATCATTAACCGTAAATTTATCATTTTTTTCGCAATTGCTTAAAAATTTAACGGATTCCAATTGACGCCATATTGTTTTTATGTGACAGTTTATATTTTTTTGATTCATTTTCATTACTATGTCCAATCTTTTATTATTTTTTTTTCTATCTAAGAGAGATCAAAAATATTATTTTTTTTTTTTTTTAAATTAATCGTAAAATAAATTATTCTAATGATTAAATAATTAAATTATTTTACTCTGAATTGTCAATTCTTCTTCCAAATTTTTCAATGCCGCGTGTAAAAAATTACATCTCGTCGATAAATCCGTAAAACTCGTAGCCTTTTCCTGATATAAGTGAATACACGTGACGGCGGCACGTATGTAATCTTGCATGAGTATTTGAAGATCGTAGAGAGTGTGTAAAAATTTCATTTTTTGCAGCGATACGCACGAGTAAGACAAATATTTCTGAAATTGAGTACATTTGAAATCATTTTCCATCATCAAAATTTAAAAAGATTGACACGCACACGCACGCACGCACGCACGCACCTTGAAAGATTCCAAAGACGAATCCAATGACAAAAGATTAGATTTAAATTTTTCGTGCAGGTTCAATCTGTAAGCCGGAAGCATAATATTATCGAGGAAAAAATTAGGTTCGAGTTGATGGTCCAATAAATAACTCAAAGCTTTTTTTATTTCGTTGTGCCTGACGTAAAACAACAGCAAGGATCGATGACTTCCGTATGACGTCAAATAAAAAATTTCTTCTCTGTAATGAATCGATTGTTTGAATGACGACGACGATAAATTGATCGATTTCTTTTGCGAAATGGGTTTCAACGTTGATAAAATACATAAAACTTCTGAAATAACAATAATCGTCAATAATAATAATAATGATGATGATAAAAATTTTAAATAATAATAATAATGATAAAATACCTTGAGCGGTTGCGTTGTCTTTGTCCGATGGCATTTGCGAACCTTTGATTTTAATAAAAGACGATGGAGATTCCAATATCCGGCAAATTTCATCGAGTAAGGGAGGATTTTTGATCGGTTTGACGGGTTGGGAAAATAAACAATGTGAAAATTTTTCACGGGCTTCTCCCCACGACCCCGCAGACAAACACGTTTTCCCCCATGCTGCCCAAACATCATTTTCATCTAGATTGTATCTTTTAGAAATCTGAAAAACGATAAATTCTTATTTAAAAAAAAAATTCTATTTGAAAAAAAAAAAAAAAAAAAAAAAAAAAAAAATGACAGTCAATATAAAAAAAAAAAAAAAAATTTATTATCAAAACAGTTATGAAAACGATTTTTTAAAAATAAAAGAAAAAAAATTAAATTAATAATTACTGACAAAATGATGTTTCCATTGAGAAATGATGTTACCGTGGAATGTGATGGACCTGAAGGATGGAAACCGGGAACGATCACGTGTAAAATAGTAAGAATGTTAGGCTATATTTTATTGACGAGTGAGTTTTTTTTTTTTTTTTTTTTTTTTTTTTTTCCTTTTAAAAAAAGCTTTTAACCCGGAATTCGACATTTGTTTACAAACATAATAACAGGTTGTGTAAATTTTCAATCGCAGTATTTTTTCTCTCCCTGTTGGGTTTATTGTTACTATCGTATGTCGAAGACAATGATAAACCTGATACTACGTCAAATCCTCTTCCTCCTCCTTCATCCTCATCATCATCATCATCATCTTCGCCTACACCTCAAACATGTACTATTGAACTTGGGGAACAAATGAAAGCAGGTAGGATGATAAAAATTAATTTTTTTCCCCCCTTCCCCCCCCCCAATTCATACAATTTTTTTTATAAATTTTTACCGTTAAAACGACAGAAATAAAAACATGGATTCAAGCTGAAATCGAAAAAAATTCTAAACTTTGTTCAAAAACGAATAAAATAAATCCGGAACAAGTTAGAACAATGATTAAAGAAGAAATGAAAAAACAACAAAAAGTTCAACTCAAACCTGATTTCGCTTCTGCTTCTGCCGGTAAATAATTATCACATGTTACAATAAAATAATTACGTTAAATGACATAAAATAATAAAAATAATAAATTTAAGGAGGTATGGTGTTGGAAGCAACGCCCACGTGGACGGAAGGATACTCCTACATATATTTTTTTTTCATACCCATAAGATCGACAGCTCCACCCCCGAGCATAATATTAGAGGTAATAAATGGATTGTTAAAAAAAAAAATTTGAATTTTCAATTATTCGAATTTTTTTTTAAAAACTTTGCCTAATACTTAAAATAGCCTACCCGGCAAGCAGGAGATTGTTGGCCGATGGAAGGACAAAAGGGAAAATTATTGATACAATTAGCAGCAAGAGCAAACATAATTGGATTCACGATGGAACACATCGATCCTGCAATGTCACTAAGCGGTGGAACACCGGAAGCACCCAACAACTTTTCCGTTTTCGTAAGCAAACAAATAAAAAAACAAAACGAGTCCCTAAAATAAATAAATAAACAATTTATTTGCATTTTCAGGGATTGGAATATTTCAACAAAGATGGCGAAAGACATTTTTTCGGAACGTATTCATACGATAATAAAAACGAAGAAGAAAATCAATATTTTCGAGTTCAAAACGTCGTGCGAAAATCATTTTTATACATACAATTGGAAATATCATCGAATCACGGAAACGATAAATACACTTGTTTGTACAGGTTTCAGGTTCACGGATTCATCGATCGTTTGCATCACTGTCAATAGAGAAATAATAATAATAATAATAATAACGACTAACCCGTTGTTTGCACGCACGCACACACACACACACGTTAATATTTAATTTCTTAAAAAAAAAAAAACCCTTCGCAGAATTTTAAACCAGAAAAGGGTAAATTTTTTTTTAAAAATGTCAACAGTAATTAATTATAATAATTTATATAAATATTAGGATGAAAATGATGATGATGATGATGATGATGACGTCGACTGCGATTACAAATCGAAAAAAAATTTTTTTAGAGTTATGGAACATATGAAGACAAAAAAAATTTTTATTTAGGCCCCACCCCTTCTCTCCTCCTCCCCTCCCCGGGGGGGGAATCTAAACTCTTTGTAATAGGTAAAATTTAACTAAGGTAAATTACATTAATTTATACTAATTATCTATCTACTACTATTATTATTATTATTATTTTTTTAATTAGCTTTAGAATTTTATGTCTTTTTTTTTTTTTATAGAGGGCTATATACTAAGTATGACTTTTTTTTAACAATTTAGTTTTTATAGGGTGCATTTTTTTTTTATAAATATAATGATAACGTTTTGAAAAAAAAAAAATTTAATTTTTTTACTCACCTCCATGGATTCCTCCCATAATTCTTCTTCCATCAATTTATTACGTAAATAAATCAAACCTGAACCTTTTAATGATTCGGAAGGTATGAAATTAATACAAGAATTTTCAATTAACATTTGTAAAAGTTCAACTTGATCGAGCAATTCATCGCAACAAATTATTTCATCCATCAAACCGAGATGTTTGTATTTAGATTTTGAACTCTCGATGAGGAATCTGTAAAAAAAAAAAAAATAAAACATTTTTAAAATAAAAACACACGGAAAGAAAATTCTAGAATGTGGTAAATTTTATTTCACCTAATTATCTGTAATAAAACATTACAATCAACTTCCGGATTATTTGATTTCCCGTGAAGATGAAGAATTTTCAACATTTTTTCACTTTCATCCAAAAGAATCCTAAAAAAAAAAAAAAAAAAAAAAAAAAATTATTAAAATACAAAACCGGAAGTAAATTTTCTTATAATAATAATAATAATAATAATTACCTTGAATAATCATTTCCGATCAATAAATCAAATATGGACAAACTTAAAGGAACGTTGGGTGAAAATTCGTAGGAAAATTCTTGTCTTACGATTGAATTTTTCGATTCGTCCGTCGTTAATTTCCAATTATTCGAATATGGAAAACCATCGAATCCATCCGTTGACGTAATGCATTTCTAACGAAAATATTAATAATAATAATAATAATAATAATTAAATTAAATTAAAATTTTAAATTTAAAAAAAAAATCGTTTTCGCGGGGAAATTTTCATTTCGAATGTTTTCCAAAAAAAAAAAAAAAAAAAAAAAAATATTTATGTTTACATATTATATAAAGAAGAAAAATGGATTTGTAAAAAAAAATTTTTTTGTTGTTTTTGTTGTCGTTTTTTCTTTTTTCGTCATTCAAAATTTTCGGCATTAATTAAACACACAAGATAATAATAATAATAATAAAGTAACGGAAAAGTGATTGATCGATCGATGCTCAGGTGAAAAATCTTTTTTTTTTTTTTTTTTTTTTTTAAAAAAAAATGAGCGAACCGGATGAAGTGGTGGTTGAAAAAAATTTAACGGTTTTCATGCAAAGCTACACGCCCTGTGACGTGCACAATTACATAGAAGAATTACGATCCGAATTACGGGAAGAAAGGGAAGAAAAAGAAGCTTTGAGTTTAGAACGGGCCAAATTGAAAGTTTGCTGGGAAATGACGCTGGAAGAATTGGCCAACACGCGAGTCGAATTATTAGATAAAATAAGTTCTTTGGAAAATAAAATAAGGAGACAAATGCTTTGGAAAAAAAAATTAAAAAAATTATTAATGGATTACGGGAATAATTGGAAGGAAATAAAAGAAGTCATTGAAAATATTTTAATGAAAAGTCCAAAATTTAATATTAAGTAGTAGTAGTAGTAGTAGTAGTAGTAGTAGTAGTAGTGGTAGTGGTAGTAGTCGTAATAGTAATAGTAATTTTTTGTTAAAGGGTATAAAAGTTTGCAAGTAAATTTAAATTTTTTTACTCCACCCCCTCCCCCTACACCTACACCTTTTGTAATTTTCGCGCCAAATTTTTTTTAAAAATTTACATTTAATTCGTGGGAATATTTAAAATTTTATTTTCTCAACTCACCATTTTTTTTTCTCCCATTTTATTAGTGAAATAATGGTAACAATTTTGACACACGCGAACCGGAACATTACCATAACCAGACACCTAAAAAAAAAAAAAAAAAATGATATTAAAATAATAATAATAATTTAATTCGTTACTTTTTTATAATTTTATCAATGAAATTTTTTTAAATATTTTTTAATAGTATAACATAATAATAATAATAATAATAATTACGTATTTTAAATTTTAAGTTTATAAATTTTTTTTTTATTTAATTTCGAATCATGTATGTATGTATGTATGTATCTATTTTTTTTAGTTTTTTCTAAAAAAAAAAAAAAAGATAGAGTGATGTAATAAATAATTTTTTAAAATAAATAAATTTTTATGTACCTACCTCCATTTTGTATTTTGAACAAGGTTCGCATATGACTCTTCCGCATCTTCTACAATGGTAACGTTTATTGAACATGGAAAATATGGTCACACGACAACACATGCATAAATTTACCTAAAAAAGAGAAAAAATTATTACTAAAAATTTCAATTTGAAAAAGAAAATTCTTTTAGCACGTGGTGTAAAACCTTTTCAAACGGAACCCATTTAGATATATTTGTCGTTTCCGGTGACATTTCTTCTTCATTATTTACAATTGAATTATTACATAATAAAATGGATTCTCCCATTTCTAAATTTCTCAACGGCATAACCAAATTCAATTCCAACGATTTTGAAATGTAGATAACAAGTAATTTGTTAACATCGTGCGAATCGATGAGTAAATCACATTCCGATACCTTAAATTATAATAATAATAATAATTTTACAATAACTTTTAACATTATTCGTATTAAATTAAAAAAAACGAACCGTTTTTAAAATTTTTTCCAAAGAGTTTAATTTACAATTCATTAAAAGTTGTTCGATTATAAGCAACGGAAACGATATCAAATGAATAAGATTCGAATGTTCGTCGGAATTAAGTAATTGTAAAAATTTTAAACTTAGTTCCATGAGACGAAAACGTGGAAGAGCATTCACTCTTATAGCTCTTTGAACGAGGCTGTATATTGATGAGATGGTGGTTAATTGAAAAACAACTTCATCGTAAAGATTTATTAGGGTGGTAGGAGGAATCAAATCGACAAGTTTATCGATTATTTCAGTTTCTCGAGAAAAATATTGAAAAAAAATTAATATAAATTCGGAATCGATTTTTTCCCGTATGGATTCTATAATCCCTGGCAAACTGACCCATTGCACGCAAAGGTCCAACTGAAAAAAAAATGAAATGATTTGTAAAACTTAATAATATTATGCTTGGTAAATAATTTTTGATTATGCTAACCTGATTATTTTTAATAAGAGTATTTAAAATTAATTTAGGAGAAGCGAAAGAAATTTCAGACACGTCAAACCACGTTTTAACAGCTTCCAAATCAGATTTCACTTCGAGAATTTCATTGTAAACTTTAATTTTTTTAACTAAATTTTTAACATCGTTTTGAGTTTTCAACGGTAGAAAAGGATAATCGAATAATATGGATGATAATTCGGAACAACAAATCGAACCGGGCCATGTTTTACAACAATTAATTATAGTTTCGATTCTCATATCGATGTTTGAAATTTGTTGACAGTAGTACCAAGGAGTTCGCTTCGCTAAAATCCAATAAAAGAAAAATGGTATTCATTTTAATAAATAAATTAAAAACAATTTCCGATACCTTTTTCCAATGGTAAAAACGATGCTTCTCTCAAAACGACATCTTTAAATCTTTGAACGTTTACATCGGAAAAAACAAAATAATCGGGTAAAGCAAACAAAACGTCTAAACATTTTATCCAATTTTTGTTTTCGACGCATTCTTCAAAAAATTCCACCAAATTTTCTTCTTCTGGATATTTACTAAGTGCAGCAATAATAACATTATCGTGAAAAACAGGAGTCAAATCTTGAAGCCAAGGAGCATTAAAAAGAATTTCTAAATATTTTGATTTATCATCCGTTAAAATTTCCCTCGGGATTTTTCCATCCGTTAAATTTTTTGCTTCGTGTATTCTCTGAACAATATCGGCTAAAATCCTTGAATTTTGAGTAAAATGTTTTAATATTGAATCGTTTAAATTTCTCTCGAGCCATTTTTCACTTTTTTTTTTCATTCCCGTTTTTTGTTTTGGAATGTAGACATCATAATCTAATTTCAACATGATTTCATTGCTTGTATGGCGAATTTTCAAAACGACATCTAAAACAAATTAATCGAATTAATCAAAGAGTAAACTTTTTAATTATTATTATTAATTTTTTTTTAGCATACCCGAATCGGACAAATTATTTATCTTTTCCCGAAGTTTATCATCGGAATAACTCGTTAATAATTTAATAAAAAATGAAATTTTTTCGTTCGATGGAAAAACATCAACTTTTTTATTGTATGCTTTGTCTAAAAACTCTTTCAATACATCGTTAATAATCAACGTGTTATCCTTAACCGTGACGAAGGCACATATATATTTTTTAACGCTTTCTTCAACATTTTTTTCAAAATCACAATCGTCGATTAAAAATAATGGCGCGGAAGAAGATTTAAAATTTATTGTTAAAAAAATTAATCTGGGATCTGGAGATACGTGCAACCATTTCCATTCATCTCTACTCATCCCCGCAAATCTCGTATCGTAATCTTCACCGAATAATTTTTTTTTAACATCCATTATTGACATAAATCCTAATTCACCCACGTTATAACCTAAAAATTTAAATCCGACGTCGCGATAAAATGAATGCTTTGAATAAACGCCATCAGTTTTTTCGAGTTTTGTACTAAAATAACAATGGCACATCATTAAATTAAATAAATTAGTAAAAAATAAAAAAATTTCTTTTGGATTATTCAATAATTTTATTTTGACATAATTAATTTCCAATGTTTTTTCTAATATCCTTTGAATTTTAATATCGTTTCGAAGTTCTCGTATATCGCTTTCGAGCAAAAGGTATTTATACTGATGTAAAATATTTTCATCTTTTTGTTTGTTTTCGCAATAAGTTTTAAAAGCTATTAAAAGTTCGGATAAAATACTTTCTACGACTTTACAGGGATGTGATGACGCCGTTGATGTTTTATAACCCTGTAAATAAATAAATAGAATTACAACAAAAAATATTATTAAAATTTTTTTTTTTTTTAAAAGATTTTGGTAAAATCGATTAAATTACCAAAATGATTTCGTTCAAAACAATATATTCAGATGAAAATATTTGAGAATTTTCCGACGAGGGTGAGATTTGTGGAAAACGTGGACAGCATCCGGCAATTAAACTAGCCGTCAAATTAAATCCGAGTTGTTGAGCTTTTTTTTCCAAGGCACCCGGTTCGACGTTATAATCGAAAATGAGTTTATCCACGATGTCGACAGCGCCACGTTCCAATAAATTATGCAATGTTATAGGCTCGCTTAAATCATCTAAAAAACAAAAAATAAAAAGAAATGCATCTCGTAACAATTTAAAAACAATCAATCGTGGAAATGTGTTAAACCTACTATTTTTCGACAAGATATTTTCCAGAACAAACGACGACAAATCCGACAAATATCTGGATAAGAGTTCGCAATAATTAACCGTTTTTGTCATGTCTCCCGTGGGAGATTCCGATTTTCCCAAATCTAAAAATTCAATCGAACTCTCCGACAATTTTATAACATTATCAAAAATGCTTTGCATGTCTTTTATATTTTTTTGCGATTTGTAAATAAAACCTAAAAAAAAAAAAAAATCCAGGTACCGAATCGGGTATCACGATTAAAAAAACTAAACTTGATTATTAGTGTGTCGTCGTCATTTTACCTTCTTTACAATAAGCTAAACCTTTACTTTCATCGTAATTACTTTTGAAATCCGAATAAATCAAATTTAAATTTTTCCAAAAATTTATGTTATCCTTTAGTGATTTCAAAGAAAATGGATAGCGATGAGATCGAAGATATTTTTGCACGGAAACTTCTCCATCCGATTTATTTATCTGATTCCGATTAATTTCTTGTAGTAATTGATACATGTTTTGAGAGAAAGCTATGTACCCCAAGGGTTTGATCGAAGATGATTGAGCACTTATGGGTGATTGAACGCGGGTGTTGAGTTCCGGACAGTGTTTCGAAGCTATGGTAAACAAATCTTTAAAATCTTGATAAGTTGTTGAGGCGGTTAATGCCAGATCGATCGTGACCATGGCCGACGTATTTTCAATGCACTGAAGAACGCTACCCGCAGATACTTTTGAATGGCCTAGAAAGTACCCATGAAATCAAACTTAAAAACTAAAAAAAAAGATTTTATAAAATTTTTTTAAACTATACACACTCTGAATGCTTGGTAAACTGTGACTGGATAAAAATCTTTCGACGTGATTAATTAAAACCGTGGAACTAACTCCCTGATTTACAACTATTTGAAAAGATTGTAAATTTCTCGATACGGGCACAGATTCCAATTCTGAATTTTTCCTAGCCGACGAATCAGCAAAAATACTTTTCAAATTTTTTTTCAAATCGTTTATTGCTCTCGTAAAATTTAATTCCCCTTCCAAACTCTGTCTATTTTCTTCTGTGCTCATCATCTGAAAAAAAAAAAAAAAAATTCTAATATCCTAAATTATAATCATTATTATTATTTCCTTTTTAAAAAAAAATGGGGTTATTAATAAGAAACTAATTTGATTAGGGTTTTAATTAATTAAGTAAATACGAGCCATATACAAATTCTCATATTTACAAATAATCGAAAAAAAAAATTAAAAAAAAAACAAACTTTTTGCAATAAATTTTTCAAAATGAAAAAAATCACATCACTTTTATTTTTATTTTTTCAATTTCACGTTTCGATACGATCGAGCCTTTTGCAACCTGATTTTTCCGTGAAAATTTACAATACGGAAAATATCATTCTCACGTTTGACAATTTGAACGATAACGACGATTTAGAAATGATACGGGTATCGGAAAAACCCGACCTTGATAAAAAATTATACAATTTCCACAGCTACGTCAAAAGGATGGCGACGTCCGAAAAACCTGTACAGGAGACAGGAATCAACGAGTATTTCACGCCGATGACATTGGAAAACGATCGAAATGAAAAATATGAAAAAAAAATGAAAAATGTTGGTTTTAAATGGTTGAAAAAATTACGATATAAAAAAAAGAAAAAAAGAAAAAAATTTAACAAGAGAGATGTGGGACAAAATGAAACCGTGGAAAGCGTCAACGAATTAGAAAAAGAATATCAGGATTTTTTGACGAAAATCAAAGAAAACGATGCGGCGTACAGATACACTGATGAAGGTAGTAGGTACTAATGTCGTTCAATTTTCCTTATTTTTAAAGCAAAAATAATAATAATTGATTTCAGGTAAACCGGAGGAAAACGTTAAAGATATCGTTAAAAAAATTATCAATTTGAAAATGCCTAAAAATTGTTCAAACGTCACCGGAATAGGAATCGAAGCTGTCGAATGCCTAATAATAAATTTGCAAAATAAAACAGTTAATAAAAAAACGATGCTCAAACAGTTTCTATACATTTTCCTCATTTGGTTTTGTTTATATTTGATAATAGCAGTTCCGCTATGGTGTTCCAAAGGTGAGACTACTATCGATGAGTAACACTACGACCATTATTAGCCTACATATTTTCTCATACGATAAATTTTAAGGGTGGTGTTGTTGCTGCTTCCGTTGTTCTTTTTGCTTTCCAATGACCACCATCAAAGAAATACAAAAATACATATCTGAAAATCCACCCGGTGTTTACATCAATTCGAAAAAGGAAATGAAACAATACCGACCAGACGCCAAGGAAATTGAATTATATGAAAAATTAAAAAACAGCATCGCTGATTTTTAATTATTAACTCACCTGAACGATGTGATCCGCGTTTAAATCATCGTTTTGAGAAAGACATCGGACAACGAGAGAAGAATCGGATGCCAACATGTGATTTATTATTCCATGTCCAAATGCTGCTTTGTACTGTTTTAATGATTGTAATTCTGGACTGCAGTTATCAATGCCGCAGGCAGGACTTGAATTATTTTGCGAATCGTTTAATTTTTCCATTGATTTCTTTCTCGTTTTTAAAAATCCGCTGCGTTCCGTATCGTAAGGCATGTAAACCCATTCACCGTCGAAGTTATGATTGGGATCATGTCCGCAAGCATTCTTCATAGAATTTATCTGAGCTATGAAATCCGGATCTGTAACTAATTGCAATCTCCAAGTTGCTTCGCTAACGGATTCTATCAACCTGAAAAAATGAAAAAATGTATTTATTAATTAATTTCATCAGACGAAAATAATAATAGTAATAATAATAATAATAGGAAAATAACGTACCAACCTATCTAATCTATTTTCCATTTGTATTGATTTAATTGTACAAGGAACATCAGTCTGAGAATTATTTGAGCGGATACTGCTACAATCTTCTTCTAAATTTTCCAAACAATCTTTTATCAAATAAATCAAATCGCGAACGATGTACTTCTTACATATAAAACCTTTTAATTTTTGTTTCCTACTTAATTCTTCTTCTTCTGATTTATCTAAAATTTGTAACAAAAATTCCGGAGCGTTCATTCTATTCAATTTCTCATTCGAAAATGAAAATTTCCCTTTGATTAATACTTTTTCCAATGCTTTTTCAAAATTCAATGAATCGTTTACGAAATAATTTAATTTTTTTACATCTTCGTACGATACGAAGAGTAAAGCAAATAAATTTTCTAGGATTTCCAATCGAAATTCTAACGGATATAATGAATTTGCCATTTGTTTGACTTTTTTCAAGTTTTCTGTCACTTCATCCTTGTACAATAGGGAAAAAATGTCGTCGGCTATTAATAAATCGTCTAATTTTATTCTTAAAGTCTGAGCTAAATCTGATATTTCGCTTGAGAAAATAATTGCTTTCATGGCGAGCATGAGAATGCAATAGCCTTCCAGCACAATTATGTCCCAAGATTTTTCCTCTTGCTTTTCCAATTCATCATCCTTGATTAAATTAATAATTTGATTCCAGTCTGTCTCTGATAAATTAGTTGTACTGTTGATTAAATATAGAAAACTATGTTCCTGAGATTTCTCTAGTAAATTTTCTAAACAATCAATTTTTGGTAAAACTTTTTCAACTGTTTTTTCTTTTTCAGCCTCATGATAAAAATGTATGCACCATTCGACAACATATGTAAATTTTATAAAAGTTTTATTTTTTGTCGAGTCTCTACATTTTTTAATAAGACTTAAAAAAACTTCTTTAGATATTGTAAAATTATTTAAATTTTTTAATAAGATTAAAGGCCAAATAAATTGAGGTATATTTGTACAATTGGCCAAGGACGGAAAATCATCTAAATGAGCATTTATTAAATCTAATATTTGAAGTAAAAAATGTCTTTCAAGAATTGTCATATCCAAAAAAAATTGTAGTGGTTGTATGCCATTTTCCAAAAGAGATTGGAGCTTTACTTTAGAATTGCTTTTGAGAAATTTTTTATCTTCTTCTATCATCGAATGCAGTATAGAAATATTATCAAAAGCAAGTAGTAAGTAACAGAGCTCTTTTCTGAGTGGCGATTGTAACAATTTAAGAACTTGAGGTACATGACATTGAATCAATTTTGTTTCGCATAAACCGGAAACAATTAAGTTACATAATTTCTGATTGTTTTCAACCTCATACAATAAAGTTTCACATGATGTAGCAAAAAATCCAACCTGGAGCAATTGTTTAAATAAAGTGTGAGCCGTTATCGAATTTTCTTCGAGTAATATTTTAAACAATGATTTTAATTTCAAATTAAATGCTTTCGTTTCACTTTCATTGAAATTCACAGGAATATGATTTTGAAGCTTCGAATACAAGCTAAAAAGTTGCTAAAAATTAAAATTAATTTTAATAAATGCTTTTAATAATTACCTCGACTAATTAATTTCACACTCGCAATACCTGAACAAAAGAATCCGAATAATAATCTCTGAGGGTAAACTGAAAATCAATTTCATTTCGAAGAATATTTAAATCCTGTATTTCGAGTATATCAGGCTCTTCTTCTTTTTCTTTTGAGGCTGTCAAAGAATTTTCAAGTATTTTTAATATCATCCAACTTTGTTGCCATGGAGTAGATATTATATGAGATGCAAAACTGTAAGAAATAAAATTAAATAATAAAGAGAAATTTATCAATTCAAAAAGAGGACATACCTGTGATGGTTAGGATGTACAGCCACAGCCCAAAAGTAATCTCTCTGAAATTCATCATTACGATCAAAATATTTTTCGGCTAATTTCCACAAACCACGATTTAAATAATAATAAAGTTTTTCCATTTTTTTTTTTTCAAAAAAATTTCTATAAAAAGTTATAATTATAATTACTAAAAAAAAAAAAAAATGTACCTAATACAAAAATTAAAATTAAATTATCATTGAATTTTTTACACATTATTATAAATAAACGTACACAAACCTAAAATTACATTAATATTACAATAAATCAGCTTCTTTTCATTTTAAAAAAAAAAAATTATACGCATAATTATCTGCACTTTGATATTAAGAATCATGATAAAGTGCTCTAACGAGTCAAATGAAAGAATTTAATTGGCGGCAAAAATTTTGTTTGACGGTAGCAAATTTTAACGGTTAATTCGTTCAGGATAATTCGTGCATTTCAAAACTTTATTATATTATTATTAATACAAAAAAAAATCTAACTACAAAATTTTATATATAAAATCGTTTTCAACAAATAAAATTTATTTATAAAAGTAATTCCCAGCAAAAATGTCAACTTATTAATTTCTTTATAATTTAACTTTTTTTTTGTAACTTCACTACTCAATTGAGTAACTTACTTACTTATTTAAAAAAAGTTAATTAATTATTTATTTTTGTTGTCATCTCATGACAATTATGTTGAATTCAAATGATAAATAACTTAACAGCACAAATTTTATTTAATTAATGAAATAAATAAAAAAAAACTTAAACGAATTCATCATTTAATAAAAAATTTGCTACCGTTTGTCGCCAATCCGATATCAAAATAATGTTTATTTGGGTTTTTTTTTTCTTTCAAAATTACTTAAAACTTTTAAAATTTTTTGATTAATTTATTATACTTTATTAAAAACTTATATTTATATTACCTTATGAGTTTTGTAAATGGATTACACACTTATAAAAATTCATGCTTAACATGTTTGACTTGTAATTTAAGCGGTAAAATTTTTTTTTCCATATAATTATAAGTTAAAGTAAACAAAAATAATTTTTTTTTAAATAAATAAATATTATCGATTAAATCGTATTATTATTAAATAATAATAACTTATGGATATTATAATTATTTTTACAGGTTGGTCATTATTCGAATACGTTATTTTCTGCACCTTTCTCTGGTGGGCATCATATTTTTTTTTGGTGATATTATCCAAACAGAGTGAAGAATGGGCTTGTCGACTCCTCACATTCATACACGGTTGCGTTGTTTCCCTATCCGCCATATGGGATCTCATTGTAAACAGAGAGGATATGGCACTGCAAAACGTACCATTGACGAACGAACAAAAAGGATACCTGTCATTTTCACTTTCTTATTTTTCATTTGATTATTTATGGATATTACTTTTTGGAAACGATATATGGGTCATACACGTACATCACATAGTAGGAATATTAATTATAACCAAAGTAATGATGTACGATTTCGGTGGAATCGGAGTCTCCATTGTCATTATTGGTTTAGAATGTACGAATCCTTATTTGCAAGCAAGATGGTTTCTTCGGACATACGGTTACAATCATAAACCCATTCATACATTTTGCGAACTTTGGTTTTTCTTCATGTTTTTCATGATACGGATGATCGGTGGAACAATATTCCTTTTTTACACGTGGAATTTCGCCGAGGATCTTATAATTAAAATATTAATCACGTGCATATACGTAATATCAGTGATATTGGCTTGGGATATATCTAAATACATCAAAAAAAAATATTGGGATAAAAGAATGCAATTACACACATCAAACCGTGGTAACTCCGAACAAAATGATATCGATTTACAAAATCAAAATGATTAAATAATAATAATAATAATAATAAATTTAAATTATTAATTTTAAAAATTAATTAATTAATAAGTTATTAAATGTTTCATTCGTACATCGATATACCATTACAATTCTCGATAAGGTTTTTTAATTTTTTTTTTTTTTTTTTTTTTTTTTTTTTAAAAAAGGCTCAAGCAAAAGTTGAATTATTTTATTTACTATTATTTAAATTTTAATAAATTATTAATAAATAAATAAATGAAAGTTTTTATTTTAGTTAAATTACATTAATTGTAATTAATAATACATGTAAGTGTGTGTGTGTGTGTGTATAATTTTTTTTTTTAATACTGTTTGTTGTGTTATTATTGAAAAAAAAAAAAAATAATAATAATAAAAACAAATATACTTTTGCTCTGAGCTTTTATAAACCTAATTTTTTTTTTTTTTTTTTTACAATTTTTCTACTAATAATAATAATAATAATAATTAAATAATTTTTAATCGTTTCCTCCTCCATTTTCCTTCTTCTTCTTAATAATTTTTTAAGGCAAATCTTACATTTTATTAAATAAAAGCAAATAACAGTTAATAACTACTACAGTTAATAAAAAAAAAAAAAAAATTTGAAATTCTAATTAATTTTAATACAAATTACATTAATATTATTATTATTATTATACAATAAATCGTAATGAAATTTCTTATTTATTTATTAATAAATTTTCTCCATTTTATTATAATTAAATAAATTTTTTCTTCCTTTTTTTTTTTTTTTTTTTTTTGTATTTATTAACAAAATACGTTAAAAGCATTTTTTAAATAAAAAAAAAAAAAAAAAATAATAATAATAATAAGACAACTAATTTTAAAAAAAAGTTAATAATCTACATAAAAACAATTTATTTATTTATATTTTTTATTAATAATAAATTTTTATTTATTGAAAAAAAATAAAATAAAATAAAATAATAAATGAAAGGTAATAGAAATCAATGAGATCATAAATACTTAAAATTATTAATTATTAATGTTTATAAAAAAATAAAAAAGTAAATAATAATAATAATAATAATAATAATAATAATAATAATTAATAACAATAATAAATTAATAAATAAAATAAAAATAAAAATTTTACACGGTTTATTTATTTATTTAATGTAATAAACAAAGCAATACAATTTAAAATATTTTTAACATTGGCACGTTAACCTTATGCAAAAAAAAAAATTATTATTATTATTATTATTTTATTCTATTTTGTATTATCGATAACGGTTATCAACGTTGAAAATCGGAAAATTTTTTGGCGGTAACATTAATTAAAAAAGGTTATGAAATTAATTACGAGAAAATTACTACATACGGGACGGGAAGACACGTGTAAAAACTCTTTATTATATATTTTTTTTTTTTTTTTGCATTTAAATAAATATTTAAAAATTATTAATAATAATAATAATAATAAATATGTTTTATTTTCCTTAAATTTTTTTTTCCGTGAGAATACAATTCTTAAAACTTAATAAAACTGAAAAAGGAAAATTAAAAAACAAAATGAAGGAAAGAAAGAAAAGAAAAGATACAAATTTTCATTTTATACTTACCTAATACGAGTATTTACACATTACTTGACTAGATAATAATGGGCTCAGCTGGCAGCTTGCTCAATGATAGGAGCAGGCTTGTGTAAAATGCTCATGGGTCTCGATGAGTACCTCTGCTGTTGCTGCTGCTGCTGTTGTTGTTGTTGTTGATGGTTTAACTGATGCTGTTGCTGTCCGTCTCTCCTTCGCAATATATCTTTGTTTTCACAGCCCCCTTGTAAAACTTCGCAGTATTCCTTTATTAAATTTGCAATCTGTGATAAAAACAATATGATAAAAGGGAAACCATCATCATCACTGATGTGTTTTGTATTAAAAACAAAAAAAAGGAATAAAAATTTATTTACCTGGAATGCTTGAGAAGTTGTGAGTATGACTTTACTTTGTTTTCTCTCGCTTCCGGTCACTATCATCAAACAGTTCAATGCGGGAGAATAACTTAAAATTGATTCGTAATCGTATGTGACGAGAGCATTTCTAGAACGATGTTCTAAAAGATGGAGTCCCGTTTGATCGACAGCCAACCATAGCACGCGAGGCCAGTTCGATGTGAAAGATTGCTGCGAAAAAATTATTATTATTATTAAATTTTCAAAGGTCAAAGGTTGATTTCACATTAGTAGTAACTTACCATGACGTCGAATATCGTCGCTCGATGAAGCGGCCAACTTTGAATCAAATTTAAAAATGATTTTTTAGCTTCGGGTTGCGTCATACCGTGCAAACTTTGATGGTGCATGGCAACACATTCGTGAGGCACGTTCGGAACGAAACGAGGAGCCAAACAGTGACTGGCTACGCCTCTGTAATCTAACAATATATCACCGCAATCCCCTAATTCTAATTGTGCTTGAAGAGCCGTCAACATAACCTGAAAAAGATAACTTAAAGTAGGTACGACATTTTTTTTTCTTCAAACCATTTTGTAAATGAACCTCTTACCGCTTCTTGTTCGGAAATGGGAAACCTATCGCATCGTAATCCGTGTAATACTTGATGATACAACAATTCTTTTTCAACGGGATCCTCTAAATTCATGTACTGATCCAAAAACAAATGTTTTTTAAATAGGAAAAAATGCTGTTGTTTTCTCGAAACTCTTAACTGTATTGTGTTGGTACCATTGGCTGGCGTATTAGCTTGAGCGGCTGTTGCTGTTCTGTACCTTTCCCATTTAGACATGACATCAGCGACTTTTTCGTCTGGTACCAAACTTCTTTCCGAAGAGCCGAGGACTTCGTAAATAGCATAACCTAAAGAAAGGAGAAGAGAGGAGTAAAATTTTTCCACGGACGCACGAATAAGTTTTTTTTTTTTTTTTTTTACAAAACTTACCCATGGCAGATTCTTTTAAACCGATTTTGCTTTTCATAACATCCATGACTTCTCTGGCAGTTGCAGAAGGAAGGAATTCTATCGCGTGGTATTGTCCATCCATTAAATGAAATCTCGCATAAATGGGTCGTCGATTTATCGTGCACATTATTTCTTCTTTAGATGGAGGCCATTGTCGTCTTCGAGTTCCCTGCGTTCTATAAAGACATTTTTCAGCAAACCTTGCGTATTTACCCTCTTCCGTGATGCAATCGCTCGCACATCTTTTCAAATGAGCAATGAGGTATTTTCTCAGTTGTTTATGAGGAGGAAGTGCCACGGAGCAAGCAAGTGAAAGGAGAGCCCAATGACGTAAATTAACCCTCGAATTAGGGTCTGGATGATCCGTGGTTTGTTTGATTAATTGCAAATAGAGTTCGTTTAGAAGAACATCTTTTCTCATGCAACGTTCCATTATGGTTTGTAGAAGGTTGACGTGTTCATCTTCTGCTCGACGAATTATATCACCTTGAAAGTTCAATGACCTTTATGATTACAACAGTAATTCGAATGAAAAATACAGATTTAAATAGAGACGAAGAAATTTACCATTTTGCCCCAAACCGGCATAATTCAAAATTAATTGGAAAACTTGCAAAGCGATTTGTTCATCGGATTCGGGGATTTTACTAAAGCTCTGCGTAAGAGGTTGTTTTGAAAAAGCCCAAAACGTATACGGATAACCTTTGACACCTTCACCTTCCCCACCATAATCAGCTCTTAATTTTTCAATTCTACTTTTACTTAGCCTGTTAGAAACAAAACAAAAAAAAAAGGGTTAGTTTTTTCATTCAAAAAAATTAATTTTTATAATAATAATAATAATAATAGTACCTTCTTAACGTGCTCCGAATGAATCCGCCACCTGGTTCGACTGATTTTCTTAATAAATCACTTTCAACTAAATTTTTTCTCGCGTTCACTAAATTATTATACAATCTCGTTCTATCTTCGTTCGTTATGGCTTTGACCTTGAAAAAAATAAAAACATAAATTTTTTAATTATTTAGAAAATGATATATTTTATTTGGAGTCTTTTCAGGTACGTACCTTTCTCACGGCAGCTTCATTTTCGATTATCCAATTTGCCAAAGCCGGACAATAACTCACAATTAGGGACCCAATTTCATTTTTGTAGGGCGTTTCGAAAACGAAACATTTATGAGTGTTATCCGGGATTTGTCGCATGAGATTGATCGTTATAAAACTATCACTGGGATCTAAAAAAATACTCTCTATGTTCTGGTAACGATACTCGTACAAAACGAATTTATCGTCTGGTTTTATGAGCATCAAACCCGAACAATTCACTCCTAAAATCAAGTTGTTACCTAAAACATAAAAAAATATTTTCCTTCGGTTCAATTTTTGTTTTAAAAAAAACATAATTTTTAAACATGTCATCTTCACTCACCGTAAGACCAATATCCCCTATAAGTCACCGGATACATGGTTGTGCCGTATAAAGGATATTGCATAACGCAAGAAAGATAAAGAGCTTTGGCGGTAAGTTCTGACCTTCCGGTTCCGTATTGGCTATGGGCCTCACTAATTATGGATATCTTTAATAAAAAAATTATCTGGATAAGTTATAAATTTGAAATTTTTTTTTTTTGTTTTGTTTCGTAAACAAAAACTTACCCAAACATCTTCTCCTCTGCTCTTGGATATTCTGTACGGCAGGTAGGTATCAACTCCGGCGTAATAGTCCGTCAGTTTATTATTATCTGGACGAGGATCACCCAAAGCAACTTGAGCCTGGAGTCCGGCCAATTGAAGAGCAACTTTTTCACTTACGGGAAAATCATCCGCCTAATGGTAAAATTAAATTACATTATGTTTAATAATTATTGATCAAAATGGCGGGTAATAATAATTTCTTCATTACCTTAACCACGCTGTGAACAGCTTGAGCATATAGCATGTTAATCTCAACGGGATCCTGAGAAAGAGTTCTACTATTTCTGAAAAGTCTTTTCTTAAATATAAATCTATTTTCTCCTGGATTTAACGTCGTCTGATTACCTCGACGACTCAAAGATGGAAATGATGTGTTGTTGTTGTTGTTGTTACCCGCTTTGTTTTGTTTTCTGGAAAAAAAAAAAAAAAATTTTCAATGAAATATTTGGGATTGATTAATAAAAAAAATAAATTTTAAATTAACTTACTGTTCCCAGGCTGCTATGACGTCATACAAATAATCATGTGCTTTAACGTGTTCCTCTCCGTCGAGTCTACTCTCGTAAATGGCCCAACCCTCAATATTTCTCAATCCTAACTTATCGGATAATTTTACGACAGCATCCGCAGCCGTGTCGGTAGGATGAACGTCAATCGCTTTCGTGCGTCCGTCGAGGAAAAAAAATCTGCAGACTATGGTTCCTAATCTTTTCATTGCCTAAAAAAAAAGGAAAAATTCATTTAAAAATTTTATAGCGACGGTTTTTAAAATATTTATTATTTCATTATCACTTACTGATATTTCCACGGCTGATGGAGGGAAAGTTCTGTTCGTGACTCTGTTATTATTACAATTATCTAGACACCATTGTACATACTGACGCAATTTTCCATCGAGAGAAAGGTTTTTCTTTAAAAAACAAACGAAATACTAAAAAAAAAAAATTTATATAATTATTTATATCTTTTTCGAAATACCTGTCTAATCTTTTCACGGCTCGAAATAATACCTTGTATAAATGTTTGCTCGGTTGAAAGGAGACAATGCAAAGACAAAGCAAGAGCCATATTCTTTCCATCCATTCCGTCTGAGGACAATTTGTTACCTGGCGAATACATTGTACAAATATTTCATCTCTGAGTTCTTCTCGTTCGATCCCATGGCCGACGATGGTTTGAATTGTGGCTACTTCAGTTTCAGGTTTGAGTTCTCCTCTTAAAAATTTACAAAGATCCTAAAAAAAAAAAAAATTGTACAAAATAATTTCAAGTTAAAAAAATAAACTTATTAGATTTAAGAAAAAAAAGGTATAAAACGTGACTTACTCTAAAAATGGCGCAAGCCACTGTCACGTTGTCAGGATCGTACATGTGAATGTGCGAATTTGGAATAGTGTTCCCTTTGTAGTAGGTAACCATTTCGTATTTTGGCATCATTTCCATGGATTTCCTCGTTTTTCGAGTAAGCGTCGCCATAATCGTTCCTAAGTAATATTAAATCAAATTAATGCCGGAATGAGATTAGAAATAATTACTGATTTATTATTATTGTTATTATTATTACCCTCTGGCGACCGTTCGTGAGCATTGAAAAAATTTTGAGCGAATTCGACAATGTCGTGATAAGAATCGTCAACGTCATTGGCCACTCTTTCCTTATCATCTTCTTCTAATTCTTGTAATTTTTTTTCAACTCTAAATTTTCGCCTTTGTTCTTTTTCCAAATCTTCTTCCCTATGAGTTTTCCAATTTTGAGGTACGCCCGACGAACTTCGAGAATTGGGTCGTGAATGACATTGTGGAGAACCCGGTGGTCTCGGTCTAGGACTAGTAGATCTTTCCAGTGAATTTCTTTGAACGTGATCCACACTCGGGCTTTTGGGTCTAATTTTTTGAGGAGGAGTCGGGAGCGGAGGAGGTGATGAATTCGATTCGTCCCGTGGTATGACCGATTCGTAAATCGGTTCGTTACCCGACTTTTCACCAGTTTTTGGAATAACGATAGCTGAGGGTTTCCCAGTACCTGTAAATAATAAAATTTTATATTAATTGAGACAACAAAAAGGAAAATTTAAAATAATAATTTTATCTTACCGTTGGTGAAAGGAGGAGGAGGTGGTGGCATTGTTGGCTCAGGAAGTGATGGATTCTTCCTCAATCTCACATCAACATTTGATATCCCATTGGTAAGTCCTTCCAATTCTTGTTGAATCACAGATTCAAGCTGTTTAAAAACAAAAAAAAACTTGAATGCAATGACAAAAAACGGTTTAACTTGATTCAACTTTGTAATTAATCATACCTCTACATCTAAATCCTCGACCAGGTCTTCCATGTGAGAAGAAATTTCTTCAATGATATTATGTCGACTTCCGGGTTGCATATCGGATAAAAATGCAAACAAATTATCCAAATCGACTGAATCTCCACAATGGTCGGTCGACATTAATTTTGGATTTATTTGTTCTGCAATTTGATTTAGTGCTTCTATTTGTTCTTGAGTGGCTCTAAAAGTGAAAAAAAAAATTCTTAGCCTTCATTGTATCAAATTTACAAGGAAACTAGACTATACATACACAAGCATACACTAGTCTATAAAAAAAAAAAAAAAGATTTTGACTAAAGAAAAATTAATCAGTTATTTATATCATGAATTATGTTGAATTCATGCAAATAAAAAAAAAATTTAATATTAATCATACAAATTATTAAAAAAAAAAATTTCTTTTACAACATTTAATTGCTCACCCGGAGTCAACTGCAATGCTATCACGGCTTTTTTGGCTAAATAGAAAAATTTTTCTATCAAAAAATTGCATTAAAACCTTTCACAAAAAATAAAATTAAGAAGAAAACAATCGAACAAACCTTTCCAATTCTTCCAAATAATTCTTTTTCCTTTCTTCTTCTTCTTCCGCTTCTCTTTTCTTTCTTTCCTCTTCTAATTTTTCCCTTTTTCTCATTTCTTCTTCGACTCTTCTCATTTCTCTTAGTGCGGCAGCAACTTCTCTTGCAAAAACTCCACGCAAATGACTTTGAATAACGATGGCAGCTCTTCTCATTTTTATAAATTGAATCCTTTGTTTCCATCCTCTGTATGCGTGTTGAAGTTTTAAAACAGCACTTCTTTTCCGTTTGAAACCTGATTGGTTTAAAAAAAAAAAAATTATTTAATGTAAAAATGACGTTACCTTATGTATGTAGAGAAAAATTTACTTTTTCTAACAACGAATCCTTTCCATGTCCTCTGAATCAATATTGCACATGCATTTAATATTTTCTGACGACTGTCTTCCAAAGGATCATACGCGCGAAACCTGAGAAAAACTTTCGTCTGACCGATTTGCCATTCGGTTTTACTAATATTATGAGTATTTATAATAGCACTGTAATAAATTTAAGTCACGTGATATTTCCAATTGCTATGAATTTCATGTAATAACATTAAAAAAATTTATACAATTAACTGTGTCATCACCTTGTAGCTTCCTTAAGATCATTTGAAAGACGCGTTTTGGAAAGACATTTAAATCTTTGAACAAAATCAGAAAATAACATATGAACCGGAAATCCTTCTTTTCTTATTCTAATTATTTCTAACATTCCTAAATATTTAAGTTGGTCCAATACGAGTTTTTCGTTGTAACTATTTGGTGATTTTTCCATATTTGGTTTAATGCATCTCACATACCAAGGATTCGTGGCTTGTAATACATCAACCAACGCCTGCAATTGGTATCTGAACGTATCACTAACTGTGGGTTTTCCTTTGGTTGTACCTCTAGCCATTGTTCCCCCCATTTTGGCAACTGTAGATCCCAATAAATCCTGCATACATTAATACAAATATTATGGTAATCAGTTGAGAAATTGTTATGATAATAAGAAAATTAACTCATTTACTTGATAAACCGTTATTTCTTGAATAAATTCGTTGGTCGATCGACTCATGAAATCAAAAAAAACATCTTGTTGAACGTCTCGATTTTTGTCAACAAAACCTTGTACAGTGTAAGTCACAGTTCCAGCATAATGTCTAATTCCAAATTCGGTTTCCCATTTTCTTCTATCATCTCCTTTCACATAATAACAATGACTTTCAAATTCTGAATGTAAATTTGTTAGGTAGGCTGAATCTGATCCCTTGAGGGGAGAATAATAATAATAATATTAGTTATATTTATCACAGATAAAAATGAATTTTTTATAATTAAGCTTCACTCACTTTTGGCATGTGACATTGTTCTGTTAATAGTTTTAATATGCATCTGGGTGGTTTTTCAATTAATTCTAAACAAGACGAATTGTCGGTGAATTGTATATGTGAAAATTCTATTTTTTCTTGACGATACTAAAACAGAGAAAAAAAAGAGAAAACGTTTTAAATACCAAATTTTCCAATAAACCACCGAACTTTTTCCCATAACACTTACAATTTCTTGTTCCAAAGCAAATACGTAATGATTGAAAAATTTGTGTAGTTTTTCGTTTGTGTAATTTATACACAATTGTTCGAAAGAATTCATTAGAAAATTTTCGAAACCGAATATATCTAAAACGCCTAGAAATCTCGAAGAATCCTGTCCGGGATTCGTGCAAGTATTTATGTGATTAACGAGCCAAGCAAAAGTTCTCGAATATAAAGCTTTTGCCATGGCATTTCTATTTTCTTTGGCCTGAAAGAAAAATTGAAATTTAAAAAAACCGTTAGCTTAAAATCTACCCTAAAAGTAAATTTATTTAAAATCTAACCTCTTGTAATTTAAGCGGTATTTCTGTGATGTTTCCTCGTACGTTTATTTGCCTGAGTAAAACAACTCGCGCCAAATCTTGTTCGTTGAGTTTTAACAGATCCGACACTGTTGCCAAAACAGTCTTATCTTCTTCTGCTAGTTTACATTTTTCACCGTCGACATCCTAATTAAATACACGTCTTTTTTTGAAAAATCAAATTGACATTTGAATTATTTTAATAAGTCAAAAATTTTTTTAATTTTACCTCAAATTCTAAATTTCCAAGCCATAAAATGGCGGAAATGACGGCGAAAATACCATCAACCATTTGAGCAGGTACTTGAACAACATTAAATGCTAATCTCAAAACGTCTAATTTTTTGGCATCATCAACTCCTTCAATCTGTACGCACCCGGATTGATTTAAATATTTGTAAAAATTTGGAGGTTTCAAATGAAACTGTTTTGTAAGTTCTGGATTATTCTACAAAAAAAAAGAAAAAAAAAGGGGAAAACATTTTCATAACGGTTAACATTTCGTATTGATTCAAAACTCTTGGGAAATTTTTGTACCTTGGCACCTTCCAACAACTGATAAAAGACGTGATAATTCCTTTCGCCTCGACTTTGAAACGTTATTCGAGATTGTTCCAACAAGTAATCTTGTATTATGCAACCTTTTATCATCCATTTGTTATCGAAACAAACTTGCATGAATTTTCCAAACCTACTGGAATTGTCGTTCCGAACGGTTTTGGCATTTCCTGTGAAAAAAAATTTTTAAAAAATTAATAGAAAATGAATGTGAGGAAAATTTGTGGATGATGTTAACTCACCAAAAGCTTCCAATATGGTGTTAGCTTCAAGAATTTGATGTTCGACCCACGTTGAAACATTGCTCGTCACAGAACACAAATATTGAAGAATGAATTTGGTTGTTTCTGTTTTTCCAGCTCCGCTTTCACCGGAAATGACGCAAGATTGATTTCTTTCGCAGGTTTTTAATGATGTGTGAGCAGCTTCGGCCAATGCGTAAACGTGAGGTTCGAGCTGTCCAATTTTTTTACCGTGATATCGAAATACGTATTCCTGTAACAACAACAAAATAATCTTCATCTCGAACCCGGTGGGGGCGGGGAAGGAGGGAGGGGGAGGGGTAGTAAAAATTGAACAAAAGACCAACTGTTTTTAACGTAATACGATAGTTTTTTTTTTTTTAAACTGACAATGAGCCTTCCCCCCAAAAAAAAAATATTTTACGATATAAACAACTTTTTTTTTTTTACGTTTTACGATTCCATTATATTCAATTTTATAGATAAATAAATTGATTGACACTTCAAAAAAAAAAAAAAAAAAAAAAAAATTTTTTAAACCTGTGACTCACATACAATACAATAACGACCGGAAATGGAATAACGACAACACGGTGACAAATTTGCAAAGAAAGAAAATATTCGAGAGAAGGAAATGAATATTTTTTTTTCTCTCTCGAGGAAAAATCTCTCCTCTTTACGGATATATACAAAAATAATATCTGTCAACATTATTTCCGTTAACCATAATTATTAACAAAAAAATAAAAACAATGAAAAAATTATTATTATTATTATACTTTTCTGTCGTCGTTACCGTAATAATAAAATAACAAAAGAACGAAGGAGCTTATTTAAAAATTTAATAATTTTATTTTATTTATTTATTTATTTATTTTAGTTTTACATTGAAATTGGTCACAGATTTATTTTAAAGTATTATTCAATGAATGAGGCGGCGGCAGATTTCTTCTTTGAAACCACCGACTTTATTATTATTATTATTTTTGTATGAATAACTAATTATATCGTATACGAAGTTGTTTTTTAACATGAAAATATACTACGTATTAATAATTTAAAGCGTGATGTTTTCCCCTTCCTTCCTTCCTTCCCCTCCTCTACTCTCTCTTTCCCCGCATCGAATAATTATTTTATCCTTTACCGACGGGGAGCGGGGGGCGAGGGAATCAATAAATTATTCTTTGCTCCATCGTCAAAATTCGATTCCCCCCCCCAGTCACGTTAAAAAAAAAGTAAAAAATTAGTCGTCTGAATAAAATTACGGGAGGTTTAAAGCCAAATCAAACATTTAAAATTTTTAATTAATTTATTATTATTATTATTATTATTAACGGAGTGATACTCATTCGAAACGAAAAAAAAAGGTACGCTGCGGACAGGATTCGAACCTGCGCGGGCCAGCCCATTGGATTTCAAGTCCAACTCCTTAACCACTCGGACACCGCAGCTTTCGACCAGGTGTACTAAAAACAATTAACTTTGTAAGGTAATAAATAAATAATTAATTAAAGGTAATAATTAAATTTCTCATCACCTGTTCGATGTACCTAATTAATGGCAGCGAATCGTTCATTTCCATTCGACGTAAGAATTTTGTTGCCAAAACATGGAAATTATTATTATTATTATTCCAATCGCATAATTTATTATTTATGGCAACGACATTTGAATCTTTTTAAAAATAATACATATATACTCTTCGTACCTTATTTAGTTTCGAATTTTTAATAGCACGATAACTGACGTCATCATAATTAATAAATTATTTTTTTATGGACTATTGATTGCACTTTCCGTAAACGACGTTAATTTTTCTTATTTTTTTTTTTTATCCATAAATAATAGTAATTAAATTTTACAACTTTGTTTTGAGCAAAACAATAATAATAATAATAATAAACATTAAAAATCTTTTTCTTTTTTTTTTTTTTAATGCGAAATCGATTAACTTCTTATTTAAAACAAGACTTCAAAACCCATCAAAAAAAACCTATTTTAATAATAATAATGATAATAACGAGTCTTGTCATTGATTAAAATGATATTAAAAGAAAAATCAAGTTGTTATTATTATTATTATTATTATGTAAAGATATAAAAAAAAATCTCAAGTGATACACTATAAATTAAATATATATTTTTATTCATAAGATATTTTCGGCGCCATTTTTTTTCTTCTTAAACATTCTTTTGTCTTTTGATATCGATTAATAATAATAATGTGGAGCACTTGGGATTTTTTTTTTGGGGGAGTTTTTTACACAAAATTCTTTGCAATGATTTTCATTGACAAGGGTGGTGATGGTGGGGGTGGCCACACATTTTAATACGATTTTCAGTGAATCGTAGACGCCTTTAGGATTATTAGGAGCCAACCTTTGACACGTTCCTAACAATAATTTATGACTTTTTTTTTTTTCTTTCTTTACATTTTAATAACGACAAATATTTATATTAAAAAAAAAAAAAAAAAAAAATGGATTGTCATTGTGAGAGTCAGATAAAAACGTTCATTTTCGTATTTAATTCCTCTACCCTATCCATATTCATCACCCCAAGGATTCAACGGGTTTAAAAATCGTATGTTGTCCCAGGCACGTGTTCGACGGGGGTAATTTAAAGAAAAAGGGGATGCCCCGGTTTTGAAAACAAGGTGAAAAAAAAAAAAAAAAAAAAAAACTGTTAACTAAAAGGAGAAAAAAAAAAAAAAAAGGTTTCTCTTGCCTAAAAAAAAAAATTTTTTTTTTCCTAACCGTCATCGTCGTCGCCATCTTTTAATAAAAAAAATATTTTAAGCATCGTTTACGAATGAATAATATTTTTTTTTTGGCGTTTCAAATATTTCCAAACACCAAATGGTCGTCTCGGTCGTGTTTCCATCATAAAAAAAAAAAAAAAAATTGTATGTTTATACACAAAAACGAGGGGGGGAGGATAAGGATAAGATCCTTATTGATTTAATACGAACAGAAAAAAACATTTTTTTTTTTTTTTTTAATGATCTCTTCTTCCTAGTTATTTTTGTAATTCATAAAATATTAAATTAATAATTTTAATATTATATATTAAACCACGTGTAAAAAAATGCCCTTAACCCTGTACCTTATTATCAAAACCTTATTTTCGAACTTATACGCACACATACACGTAAGTACGAAATTTATGAATGAATGAACGAATACTGCCACTAATTAAATGACACCTGTATTATTATTATTTTTTTCAATTGTTTGTATACAAAAAAAAGTCGTTTCCGGTTATCTCTAACGACAAATAAAATTCGAAAAAACCGTTTTTTTTTGTTTTGTTTTAAATCAACGCCAAATAAAAAAAAAAAGAAAAAAAAAAAAACTTACCGGTGTGTAAATATCCAATTCTTTGTAAGGATTCACAGCCACTAAAATGGTTCCCGTATATGTCTGTAAAAAATTATTAATTAAGAAAAATATTTTTGAAAATTTTTGTTTAAAATAATTGCAGTTTGCAAAACAATCAAATGCGAGCAAAACAACGTAATAATAATGATAATGTCCCATGGTGTAAAACGCACGTGTTATTCTCATGTAAATATTTACAAACGCGACATTTGTTTCCATTTGTTCTATGATGATTTTTTTATGTTTTGCAATTGTTTCACCGTGTCAAAAAATATACAACAACATTTTTTTTATAAACAAATACGAATCGAAAACAACAACAACAACAACAAATTTCGAATGCATAATTTTTAATATGAAATTATTATTAATACCGAATTCTGAAACAATTTATTTTTAAACCGGAAATTATCAAAAACTCTTAAAAGTTATACAAGCTATTGTTTTTGACAAATGATAATTATTTATAATTCTCTTAACCACGTGAGAAAAAAAAAAATTTTGTTTTTTTTAAACAATAAAAAGGTGTTTGAAGTCATGAAGCGAATACCTTAATTGACCCTTAAATAAATTGTAGGTTTACAAAACATAAAACAAAACAAAATTAGGTATACGACTTCAAATATCAAATACCTATTATATAATTTAAAACTTTTACGTCATTTTTTTTTCGTTTGTTTGTTTTAACGTAAAGTTTATTTATTTATTTATTATTATTATTATTTAATCTTTTGTTAATATTCGTGGTTATAAAATTTCCCCCCTTTTGTGATACAAAGACGAACTCCACCCTTACACACACAGACGTAAAAAAAAATTGATTAACCTGTCTCTCTCTCTTTTAAATGAGACAAAAACCTAAACAGCCTTTTAAATCTTCATCGTCATCCTCATCGTCGTCTTGCATAACATTTTCGATAGGGAGGAAACACGTGAATTTCCCCCCCACACCGCTCCCCACACCCCCCACGGAAATCAACAACCGTATTTTACTTAACTTCAGGATAACGTATTTTGGTACTATGAGTAACCATTTGAATTTTAATAATATAACACCTGGCCGATTCATAAAAACATCATAAAAAATCAACTTTGAATGTAAATTTTTTCACCCGAAAATATAATAATAATAATAATAATAATAAAAATAATAATAATAATAATGGAATTATTAGGTTTTAAGTAAAAGTTTGTTCGAGCGTATAAGCGGATGAGGATGACCTTTACCCGAACAATAAATAAATATTTTTAATATGTATCACGTTTCGAAATTTTTCAAATAAAATTATTACTACCGAGTTTTCCTTTTCGCACGAAAAAATGAAAAATCCATCCGGAAAATGAAAATCAATGGAAAAACGAAAAAAAAAAAAAAAAGAAATTTTATCATCATTTTTGATAAAAAACAAACAAACAAAAGTAATACGGACAGTGCAAAACGAAAAAATCCACCACCGAGTGCAAAAGGAAAAAGAAAACGTCCAAAATAATAATAATAATAATAATTACATTTCGATTGTGGAAAAATTAAATTGAAATTTAATTTACGGGGGGTAGTAATGGATTGTTATTATTCGATCCATACATTTTTTTTTTTTTTTTTAAATTTAAAATGTCGTTCGGGATAAATAAAATTTCATAGAACGAAATGTTGAATGAATTAACTTCTAGAACAATTTTCCTTTTTTTTTTTTTTTTTTTTTTTTTTTTAATGCAAAACAATGTTTCTTTTTTTTGTTGAATAATAAACGTTTTTTAAATTATCTATTTTTTAAAATGGGAAAAAACAAAAAAATTAAACAACTTTTTACCCATGAGAAAAAAAATTTTTTTTTTTTTTTTGTTATAAACAATAAAATTACAGAATAAATTTGTTTCTTCCTTACATAAAAAAACCCAA